AAACACTTGGCAAGAGCCAGAGAAAATGCTGGCATGTGCCATGGGGTCAATGGCACCATGTTGGGGTCCCTACCATTTAAACATTTTGTTGGGGGGGGGTGAGATGTCCAAGGGAAAGGCAACTTGGATTTCTTTTTCCACCTTACTGGACATCAGTGCATCCTTTGCACATTTTTCACAACCGAGCAGTATTCATAAGGAAAGATGTAGCACGGACTGGGTCTTGCCCTGAGTCCATTCAGGGCACAAAGAAATAGACAAAGATCGTTTTGACTAGTCCATCTTGTTTCACTATCCCAGTCACTGCTTCTATGTATCTGTTCCTTGCAACAGCATCAACCAGGCCGAGTGTTTCTTTTCTTTTAAATGTGCTTTTTGGATACAGCTTAATTACGCATTTTGTCCTCCAACTGATACTAGCAAAACCTGATCCTCTAAAATCGTCTGGTTGCTTGGAATTAACACAGCAAGACACACGACCCTTGCCACTTCCCTAAATCTTATGGTATTTACTCAAATGCAAAACTAGGGTATTTAAAACATCCCCCCAGGTATGCTATCAAAAAGGAGGGGTGTCTTAAATCTGCATACGAGTTACCGTTATGTCCAATAATTAAAACCTTTTGGATATACCATTGGGGAGGGTGTCTTACATCAGGCCTCAACTGTTCCGGACACCAGGTCACCACTGCAAAGTGAAGTTTGTTCGTGGATCCATTGGCCCTCCACCTGTAAACTCTGAGACAGAGTTTAAAATAAGGAGAAGGGAAAGGGGAGTGAGCCCTTAGAAGGAATGCCCTGCAAGATTTTTAGCACAGACGGCAAAGGATGAGATGGTTAGACAGTGTCATAGATGCAACGAACATGAAACTGAGCAAACTTCAGAGGACGACGGAAGACAGGAGGGCCTGGCGGGATCTTGTCCATGGGGTCGTGAAGAGTCGGACTCGACTGTGCGACTGAACAACAACAGAGCTCAACAGCTGCTGACTCTCCTTTGTCTTTGTTGGGCAGAAGAAGTGATAAAAATCTCTTGTTATATGTTATATGTTGTTGGGGGTAGTTGGGTGTTGTTTGTATGTATGTCTGCAGTATATAATAACAAAAATAATAAAAGTGTACCCTCGGGTACTTTAAAAAAAGAAGAAGAAGAAGCAAAAGTAAAAGGTGACAGAAACAGAATCAAAATCTTAAAATGCAGCTTTCCAGCGACTCACACATAGAGATAAAGTGAATTATTATAACAACCAATGTAAAGAAATAGAAGAGAACAACAAAAAAAGGAAGAACAAGGGATCTGTTCCACAAGATCCAAGGAATCAAAGAGAAATTTAAATCATGGTTGGGCATGCTAAAGATCAATGTGGAAATACATTAATTGAACAGGACAAAAAAAATGATGAGAACAATACACTGAAGAACTATACAAAACAGATGAAAGGATGACAGATTCCTTCCAAGAAGAATCTTTTGAAGAAGAACCTGCAGTTCTGGAAAGTGAAGTGGGAGCAGCACTGAGAGCAATAGGTGAAGCAAACCACCAGGAATAGATGGAATATCAATAGAGCAATTCCAGGCAACAGAAATAAAGCCATTAAAATCTTAACAAGATTGTGTCAACAAATATGGAAAACAAAACAATGGCACACAGACTGGCAACGCTCAATTTACGTCTCAATTCCAAAAAAGGAGACATCAAAGACTGCAGCAGCTTATCAGACCAGAGCATTTCTCACGCAAGGAAAGTGATGCTCAAAACCTAATAGCACAGACTGTTACCATATTTGAAATGCCAGGTATTCAAACTGGATTCAGAAAAGGAAGAGGCACTAGAGATCATATTGCAAATTTACGTCAATTTCTGGAGCAATTTCAGAAGAAACTCTAGAGAGATCATATTGCAAATTTACGTCAATTTCTGGAGCAATTTCAGAAGAAACTCAGCTTGTGTTTCACAGATTACAGCAAAGCTTTTGACTGTGTGAATCATGAAAAGTTATGGTTGGCTTAAAAAGAAATGGGTGTGTCACAGCATTGTTTTGATGTGAAATCTATACTATGGGTAAGAGGCCACTGTTAGAACAGAATATGGAGAAACAGAATGGTTTCCCATTGGAAAAGGTATCAGACAAGGATGCGTTTTATCTCCCTATCTCTTCAATCCGTATGCAGAACACATCATAATGAAAACTGGATACAATTTAGATGACAGTGGAGTGAAAACTGGTGGAAGGAACAATAACAATTTGAGATATGATGATGGTACCACATTACCGGCAGAAAACAGTGAAGACTTGATACGACTATTGATGAAGGTTAAAGCAGAAAGTGCCAAAGCAGCATTACAGCAGAACATCAAAAAGACAAAAGTAACAGCTACTAGGAAATTACACAACTTTAAGGTTGACAGTGAAGAAACTGAAATTGTCCACGATTTTCTATTCCTTGGCTCCATCATCAACCAAAAGGGATACTGCACCCAAGAAATCAGGAGACTGAAACTGGGAGGGTGTCAGGTAGCCCTGTCATAGATCTGGAATGTGGAGGGGTGCGCCTCCTCCTCTTTCCCAGCTCATCCCTGTCCAGCTTCTGCGTGCTATATCTGGCTTGACCTTGTTGATGTTTCCAGCTGCAATTAACTCATCCGGGAAAGCTAACGGCTTTTACTCTTTGCCCACTCGCTTGCTAGCTTTAGCCCACGCATGCGAATCATATCCATTGGCTTCAGCTCATGGGGGGAGGGGAGTTTGATTATACTATAAGTCAGGGGCCACTATATTGTAGGTCATTCCTGACACAAGCTGTATACTCGTTCTTTAGTACTGGACTACCAATAAACACTGATCTTCTAAAGAAGCCTTGCGTGGTGTACCCTGACTAAGGAGCCTGACAGAGGGGCAGTCATGAAGGAGTTAGAAAAGACCCTTAAGAGTAAGGATGTGTCACTGGCAACCAAGATCAAATTAATTCACGCCATAATAGTCCTCATTACTATGTACGGGTGTGAAAGCTGGAGGATGGAAGAAAGCTGACAGGAAGGAAGTAGATGGCTTTGAAACGCAATGTTGGAGGAAGAGTTTTATGGATACAGTTGACCACGGAAAAGGCAAACTAGCGGGTTCTAGACCAAATCAAGCCTGAACTCTCCCTAGAAGCTAAAATGACTAAACTGAGGCAATTGTACTTTGGTCACATCATAAGAAGATAAGAGTCACTGGAAAAGACAGGAATGCTGGGAAAAGTTGAAGGCAGCAGGAAAAGAGGAAGACCCAACATGAGATTAACTGATTCTATCAAGGACGCCACAGCCCTCAGTTTGCAGGACCTGAGAATGGCTGTTAACGATAGGATGTTTTAGAGGACACTAACTCATTTTGGAGGACACTAACTCCATAAGACAGACGTGCCTTGATGGCACTTAACACACACACACACACACAACAATGTGTAGGAATGGACTGTTGAAATTTGTTGTATCACCTGATAAATAACATTCCATTAAACCTCTATTAAAGTAACAGGATATTTTTCTCCAGGCCAGTTGGCAACCCCATTTATATCTTACAGTCATTCTTAAACTTGCTTACTATAACTGGGGGGGGGGAGGAGTATTTGGTATGGGATGGATCTGAGCTTCTTAATTCCGGGGCTGGCTCCTAGGTCCAAAGAAAATTTTTCAAGGCTTCCTTTACATTCAGGGTAGCATTCCTTTACAGGAAATACAGTATTGACTTCAGGTTATTTTCACCAGTCACAGTAATAAGACAACGGAAAAACAAAGCAAAGAACTGCAAAGTTATAAAAAGACAATTACCCTTTGGAATAAATCACTACAGATCTACGTACCATAAAAAGTACAATCATCCTTGGTATTATTTATAAATAAGAAAGCTGGATTTTACTATTGTGAACTACAGTCCTATACATCCCATTTGCTTCAGTGGACTTAGAAGGCTTTAACTTCTTGGGACTGCATTGTAATGCTTACATTCTAGAAGTGACCTAGAACAGAAGGGTTCTAGAATTAACCTAGAAGGGCTTGTGAGGGGAGTTCATTCCACTCCCCTTTCTCAGAGACCAGGCAATCAAATGAAGAATATCCTTGCCACTCCCCTCCTCTCCACACACTGTAAACTGTAAGGGCTATTTCCATATTTCCCATCCAGTACAACTGACGATATTTGCTGGAACCTGAGAAAAGCACATGGTCCCAGTGGAAACATAAGTAAGTCAACAAGAGGCTTTTCAAAACCACATTAAGCTAAACATTAAACAAGTCATTTATTTAAGGCTGGAGCGGGCATGCTTGTTAAGCCTAGAAATATTTAGATTCCTGTTAGCAAATCAGGTAATCAAATCATTAGCACAGCAGAAAACCTTTTTGTGCAGTAAAGTAAAGGTAAAGGTTCCCTTGCTCGAAAGCCAGTCGAATCCGACTCTAGGGTTGCGGTGCTCATCTCCGTTTCAAAGCCAAGGAGCCAGCGCTGTCCGAAGATGTTTCCGTGGTCATGTGGCCGACATGACTAAACACCAAGGCACATGGAACACTGTTACTTTCCCACTGAAGTGGTACCTATTTATCTACTTGCAATTTCTTGCTTTCGAACTGCTAGGTTGACAGGAGCTGGAACTGGAGATGAGAGCTCACTCCATCATGCGGCACACTCGGGTCTCGAACTGCTGAACTACTGACCTTCCACAGCCTGTAGTTCAGCATCTTAACCACTTGAGCCACCGCAGTACCAATGTAGATTTTCTCTACATTGCCAGTATGACTTCAGGTGAATGAGCAGCACAAGATCTTTTCAGGAATCACAAATCCGCTATATTAAACAGGCTCCACACACACACACACAAACACAAAAATCTTCCACCATCTAAAGGAAGAACTCTTCCTACCAGCCAAGAAGCTGTAAGAAGAGGAAATTATTATACTTCTATATCATATAATGTAAATGAACTACATTCACCGCTGTTATATATGAATGGCTCCAACTTACCTATAGGGTTTCTGTCAAAAAACAGAACGGGAGCTTTCAAAATCGACTGGAACATTTTGTCATGCAACGTCTGAGCAGAGTTAACCAAAACGCGAAATATGAGGAGACACCTCAATACGCTGAACAGTATGGTAGCCACCGTCAAACCTGAGAAGAAAGAGAATGAAATGTAATCTACGGACTTAAGCAAGAATTTCAGATGAGCGGTGAATGAGTTCTGGATTCAGTCATGTACAACCTGCGGGAGGAAATGGGACATTCTTATCCTGACACAAATATTCCCCTCCAGGTTACTACAAACTCCAGAGGTCTTCACAAGGCCAATCTCCCACCTCAGTCTGTCCTCATTAACTGACTCTCAGGATTCTGAGGGCATACATTCGCTCTGTCTCACACATGTGTGTCTGTGTATATTGATTGACAGATACAGGCCCTCTCTATATCTGAAGGGCTG